AGGGATGTCCAATTTAAAGGAGGAGAAGATAGAGCGGAGGCAAAGGACAGGAGGGAGCTGCGTTCAGTTTGTTTGCAGGCATGGATATTTGTAGATAAAATGCAAGAGAACAAGAGGAAGAGAAGGAAGGGATGAGCCATTAGGTTATAAGCTTGCACACTAACATGTTGCTTTGTGTATGTGCCGTTGGTCACATGTATTTACATATATATAAGAGCTATGATGCTTGAAAAGGATGCAAACATCAGTACAAATTGAGAAGTCGGCAAACAACAACCACAATGCAAATTGTGTGGTTGAAGAGATATTCCCACTAATGAAACCAGAAAGAAGACCTCATTGGGTCTTAAGAGATATTCCCACTAATGCCACCAGGAGTGATCTTGACCTATTGGCTCAACAACCACAGAATGCAAATTATTGATATGGACCACCAGAAGAGGACTTGGCCTTCACAAAGTACTCAAAGTTGTTGCCGTGATACGAATATATCATATATGTGATAAACGTTTTCCTTTTTTCCACAAAAAAGAAAGAAGATATAAGTGTTAAACAGAATCCTTGTTGAATTCAAACTGGAACATGTTTTGACAGCTGATACCAGCGCATCTTCTAAAGTCCAAGTTCAAAGTTGTTTTTCTTGTTGATGATTCTTCTAAGAAAATGAGCCCCAACCAGGACCAAAGATGGAGAAGGTGCCTAATTTAAAGCACAAACTTCTGTTAAAATATATGGGGAACAAAGGGCCATAATTAATTAAACGTAGAACTGTTGGATTTGTTTTAATTTAAAGCACAAACTTCTGTTCACCAAGGAATTTCATAATGTTTCTCGAAATATCAATAACCACTTGCATTTAATTTTTTGATTTTCTTATAGTTAGTATGCTGAGGTTGCGTGGGATTCAAGGTCGGCGATGATCCACATAAAAATGAGGACATGTGAGTTTGGTATGAATTATATATAGTTGCCAAATTGGCTTTTTCTACTGTCCATATATTCGCTTCATCGCATTCACAGATGAATGGCATTGGCTAATAGGATGTCGTGGAGACAAAGCAAGCGGCCAAATCCTTCCTTTTATGGATAGCCTCCGAGTCCAAGACTTCTTAGCGCCAACTTCTTTTCCTACTTGTTGCTCACGAAAAATACATCATCACATGCTGTGTCGTTTATGATGGAGAGGCCTCACCAATAATGTTAGGGAGTATCTATTCTATATGCACATTTATATGAATATACTGTAACAACATTCCCGCTCACTTAAGGACATAAAAATGAGGATATATGAGCTTCTTAAATTTTTAATAAAGGTCATTGAATTAATCTAATGATAAATGGTAATTGACTGACAAAATAAAAATGATCTATATGTTACTAAAATAAACTTTAATTATTTTGACCGACAAAATAAAAATGAGCTTTTGTCTGTTTGGCAAAAATGTATCCATGTATATATATTTTTTCTTTGTGAACTGGCGTTGGGAGGGCAATGCACCCCAGAAGCAACTACACAGAATTAGAAATACGAATCAAACAGGCTTTAGAGACCCAACTAAGAGATCCTCAAAATAGCAGAGGCCTTAGTCCAAATCATCACTCCAGTTAGCTAATTAGACCCACACTATCATTTCCCAGGAAAAATAAGTAGAATCAGGAAGTACCCACCGGATATCGCATATTAGGCGTTATCAGGGTTTGACATGTTCGGACAGTCGGATTGACTCAAATTTAATATATGTTGATCTAGACATTCTTAGGATTATGTAGGATTTCACGGATTGTGAATTGGAGCCCCGGATGTTCCGATTCAATAACTTAAAGTTTGCGTTAAACGACAACCGTCTGATCGTACGATCGCGAGCAATCCGACCGTTCGATCCAATCCAAACTTGCAGGACGTGTATTCTAAACCTTGTGGAACCCACAGGAACTTCTAGATCAGAAATCGGAGGTCGTGGGCCCCATGGGCCCGGTTGACCTAATTTGGAAAGTTTGACTGCTCGGTTGACCGAGCGTCTTCCGATGCTATCTCTTCATCCGAAACACGTAGTTAGACTTTAGGAATGTCTCGTTCCTCGTACTTTACTTGTAAGCCGGGAACCTAGGATTTTAATTTAAAGTTTCCGTTCAAAGCATTTTGTATTAATTTCGTACTCGTTTTCTGAAATAGGTGCTTCGACTACTCGCATGCAGCAGGCGGGACCCTCTCAGGATCAAACAGTATGGGACTACTTGTGAGTGGACTTTGTTTTTAAATAATAGGGGGTTTCACTAAAATACCCAAAATGGGGGCTAAAATTATAAAAAAAACCAAACACCCAAAACACTTTATAAACACACCCAAAATCCATCATTACACACACTCAAAACCCATTTATAAACACACCCAAAAAATATACAATTGTTGATTTTGGATGTGTTTCTATGTTTAAATAGTGTTTGAGTTTTTTTTTATAAATACATGTTTAGGATTGTGTTTATTTATAAATTTGTATAAATAATAAGCATGGTTTTTTTATGGAAAAATTATGCATAATGTTTTAATGGTTTATTGAATATATTATATATTCAATTGCTGAACTTGATGTTTTTATATAGCAATTGCAATATATTTTTGGGTTTTGGCATATTTGAGTGTATATATATATATATGGATTTTGACAATTTCTATCTATGTTGGTTATGTGTGGGGTACTTGGGTTGTTGATGTGAGATTTTGGAAAGAATTGTGATTATAGTATGTCAGTTGAAGTGCTATACGCACTATCCTATGTACCCCCCCCCCCCAGGGTTACGGAAATTATGGAATAGAAGTGGATTATTGAGATACTTGGATATGTTGGAATCCCGCACCTTGACGGGGTGTTTCGTAAACCCTTAGCGGGGTAGTCAGCGCACGTAGTGTTGTAGAACAATTAGTATAAAACCAAAATAACAGAATAATAAAAACAAATGAAATTGGCTTTACATAAATATAATTGAATCAATACAACATTAATATAAATTGTAGAATACTGACTTGAATTGTAGATAGAGTCCTGTAGAGTTGCAGTGTCCTTTAGACAGTATTTCTCCTCTACCCTTGTGCTTGTAGTTTGATAGGAGTCTGGCGAACAGTGGTATGAATTCTCTCAGGAAGTGTTTAAAATGTGAGAATGATAATACTGTTCAAAAGTATCTCTCTGGTTTGAACGTATTATCAATATATAAAGGTCTAACACCTCTTCATCCAACAGTTATGTTAACTGTTTAACTTATTCGAATTTCAGATTTTGGTTTTATCTTAATAAACAAATTTTCAATTAATAAAAATAAATTATTAATTAAATCAACAGAGCCCAAGAGCCCATCTTTTGATAATTATATATATATATATATATTTATCACACAAATATGTATATAATCCAAGCCCAAACCATGATGAGGCCCAACTTTGCCTCCATTAGGCTCATACTCTATTTAGTATTTATAAAGTGTTGGTGTTTATAAACCATGGAAGGAAACACCTCTCTTCCAATGTGGGACTAAATGCAAGTGTATTTTCCTATACAAATGTTGGAATTTTAAAAGGTTTTAAAAATTTAACCGTTTTATTTAATTAATTATTTTGACTGTTTTATTTTATTTATTGTGGGGGTTATAAATATTTAATATTCATGTTTTATTTTTGGTTGGTGAATGCCTTAATTTTTGTTGTTGGTGAATGTTACATGTTTTTGGATGCCTATAAAGGCCACTCCTCCTTCACATTTGATAGACACACAATACACTATCAGAATATCACATACACATTCTAATTCTCTCCTTTTCTACTTTTACATATATTCTCTACTTTATAATATTATTATTTTGGGCAATATCTGTCTATGACCGTGATCATAGCGGATCTTGAGTTTGTGTACAAGGGGTCGTATCTTGGGGTCTTATAGACCGTCAGTACCTGCATGTAGGGAGGCTACAAAGGCTTTAGGATATCGTCTTTGACGTGCTTCACCGTACCAAACTCACCTTCTTACTTGTTATTTACTTTGCTTTTCCTTACCTATTATTTTGTTTTCTTAAATTTCATTGTACCTTAAAACTTTCTATTTTTTTTATAAGTTATTTATAATATAAATGTTTTTATATTTGGCTTTACAGAAAGAGGAAAACTATTATTTTTTACAACAACTCTAACAATACCCCACATTTGTATAGGAAAATTATAACGTGCGTAATTGAGAGAAAACTTTGATATAACACACATCAGGAGAGGTGTCTTTTGGACTTGAACCTACCCTAATGAATACTTATCGGATTTACTAGGTGACGCAGTGAATATAAAATCTTGAACTGTACGTGCTGGTAGAGTTAGTCCCCTAGTTGGACGGCTCGCAAGCAGCATTCACAAAGAAGTCCTTTCTACACAAATGGCACAATGTAAAATTTAAAAGGCTTAATTATTGATATGGTCCTTGAAACTCAATTTGAATCTCACGTTGCCATCTAAAACTCAATTTGTCACATTTTACCCCATGAATCTCAATTCTCAGTCTCACTTTGTCCATATTCATTAACTCCATAAAAAAAACAGAGCATTGAGTTGTGAAGAGCAAAATGTTGAAATTGATAACAGTCAAGCCATACGTTGATGCCCTATTCGTGTTATAAAAATCTTTTCTATTAATTCATATTAGACTAGATATAATAACTTTCATGTACAAGGGTCACAAATTTCAAATTCCCAAAAATAATCATGAGAAATCACAGCAAAAAACACTAAAAAGATGCACAAGACGCATTGGATGAATATGTTAAAGCCAATTCTCCGAAAATTCTAATTCAAACAGAAGTTTTTTCTGCCATCTTGGGCCAAAACTGGGCCCAACATTTGGAATATAAAAGTATTGTGTTCGGGCCTTCGAGCCACAGGCTGTATATGTATAAATAAACACCCGAGTTCGATATGATCCGACCCATTTCAGTTTCGGACTAAAACGGGTCGTCGTCGTCTTTTTCAGTCCTCAACTTCTTACGCAGAAGAGTGTAAAAGGAGGAAGAGAAGAGCAATGAGTGGAGAAGAATTAGCGGGCCCCCCAGCGCCAAAGCTCCTCCGTCTCCTCAATTTTAAGTCTTCTTCTTCTTCCTTTTTAAATGGTTGGCTGATTTGCACTGTTGGAATCAACAAATGGCGTGAGCTTCAGCGCAATTCCATTTTACAACAGCAGCAGCAGCAACAACAGCTCTCTGAAAATGCCGCAAATTCCCTTGAGTGATCTCCAGGTTTAGGGCAAATTTTCAAATTTTGTCACGGAATTTGGCAAGTAAGTTTGATCTTTGGCTTCATTTTGAGTTTGTAAGTGCTGCTCCAGCTAAATTATGTGGAAAATGGTGCAAGAATTCATGCCTTTCAATCTGTTTGAATATACGAAGTACCTATGTGTGCAAATTTCTTTGGCTTCATTTTGAGTTTGATCAAATTGCTAATCCGAGTATTCAGCGTACAAATTTGAATGGTAATGGGGATTGTCAAGATTTCGATTTTGTATACATTTGTGCTTCTTTTGTGACATTTTCTCTCTAGTTATAGTTTGATTCGGGCAGTATACAACATTCTTGAGGATGACTCAAATAGCGAGGTGAGATTATTGGTGTGTGTGTGTGTATGGGCGCTGAAAAGAAAAAGGAAAAGGTGAAGGAGAGGGCAAAGAAAAGAGCAATGACAGCAGAACAAGTTAAATAAAAAAATATGGCAAGGATTGCTTGTGAGAGGAGAAAAGATGGAGAAGTCTATGAAGACACTGAAGAGTTGACAGTTCTTCAAGGGCGGAATTGTAAGCAGAGATGAATGAAGGTAATTGCTCAGTAGCCAAGACAATACTAAATGGGTGGTGCTAGAGGCACCAACTTTGGGCACCAACTCTCTAAGAGAGGTGGAGACGTTGACAGTTCTTCAAGGGCGGAATTGTAAGCAGAGATTAATGACGGTAATTGCTCAGTAGCCAAGACAATACTAAATTATAGCTAGAAGCAATTATGTAGTTCACCATATATAAATTAGAAACACATGACATATCACTCACAAACTTAGCATAAATAAATAGTATCGCTAAGCATACAATATTAAGTTCATGAGGAGGTCAAGAGAAGTGAGTTTTGGAGGGGGAGGAGTATTCAAATTACAGATGAAATCTGTTTAACATTGCACCATAATGCTTTGATATATGTAAAGAAACTGACGGTGGATAGAAACAATGGGTAATTATTGCTTTTCATATTTGAGACAGGACTAAAGTTAAAATCTTGTATATTGCAAAATTATTTTCCTGATTCATAAACCAGCTTGTAAAATTTCTTCTTCTTGAGGCCAATTTGAAATCAGCACTATCTCACCCTCTGTTCTTGATCAGGCTTTAAACATTTAGGGAACCTTGCTAGATCAGTATATTAATTATTTTCCTTCATCTTTTCTAATCTGCTGCTTTTAAATGGCATCACCTTTTCCAATGTTGTTTGTTTGAGTGTGTTATTGAATTCTCTTTCTTCTTAATAGTTTGAAAGAAAAACTTCAACAAATGGACAAGCTGCTGCTCGAGGGGACATAGTCATGTCACGTATCTCAGCTTTTGAGAAACTGGATCTAGAGCTTATAAAGAGAGAAAAAATGCAGAAAGAATTTTCATTCGCAGACCAGATCAGAGCTGCCAAAAACAAAAGAATGGAATTAACTATGGAAGCCTCATCCTCTGTTCATGCAGCCAGCAAGAAACCAGGGGAGTATGCTTAAATTTCCACATCCCTAGCAGCAGTTGAAATAGAGGTGTATGGAGGGCAACTTTATTCTTGTTCTCTTCTTTAAAGAGGGACAATTTGCTTGTTTTTATGTAGCTTAATGTTCATTTGTTGATGGTTTGTAGGAAGAGAAAATATCGGACTCTTGGACGCATTTTTCCAACCAGTCGCAAGAGTCTGGTCATTTGTTTTCAGGGCTTCATTCATGTTATATGGAAGAGGTCCATCTGGTGACAGTGCAGCGTTTTTATGTGAAAAATTTGTTAGGTGAATTTGTCATGACCAGAAATTATATCATCCACTTTCAAGCACAGGAAATATCTGATTTGCCTTGCCAATGTCCATGCTGGTTGTGATATTGACTTTAGACAGTCGAGTTGTTATAAGCTTTATAGGATGTGTCATGATTTTTTTAACAGTAGTAAAAACCCTCACCGGTTTGGTTCTTCTCTTTTAGTTTGTAAACAATTTGATTGTTCTGCAGGGGTTGTGTGATGGATTCAAACTCCACAATAGAGACCCAAGCTTTTGTAAGTTCAATATGGAAGAAAGAAAACCATAAGTTGTGAGATTCGTAGTTTATTTTCTCCGAAATAAATTGGAGAGCAGCATCATATATTATATTTTCTTTTTTTCAAATCTATCAGAAACAGCATACTGAGGAGTTCATAATAATGTTGTAGATTTTTTCCTGCAGCTGAACTGGGTTATGGTATTGTATTTTCACTTGTCTGCATGAGTTTAGGGTTTCTTTTACCCCATAACTTTATGAACAGAACAACATATATCCTTTAAATTTGAGTCCGGTTACTTTGAAAGGAAGAAAAAAAAAAAAGGAAAAGCAAACTGAAAATGCAAAATAAAAAGTACAATATTAATAATATATATCTACTCTCTAGAGCCTATCTTGTAGATTGTCTATGAATCGAAAATATGCATATCTCCATGTCTTGTTAATAACTAAAGAACCAAAGACTCCCCAAAATCCTACTATGAACCCCAACACAGCGAAAATATAAAACCATGGAAGTTGATGATGCCCATTGCCCTCGTCTTTGTTGTTCTTGTTATCTGCATCCATGTCCTTATTTGGTCTGCACTTATTTAAAAGTGGGGCACCACAAAGTTTTGGATTACCCTCAAAGGCAGAAGCGTTGAAGCTTTGGAGCTGGGTGCCTGTTGGTATTGGTCCTTCAAGATTATTGTAGGAGACATTAAATCCTTTCAAGAAATTAAGGCTCGCCAATGACGATGGGATTGTTCCAGACAAGTGATTCATGAAGAGGTTCAAAATCTCTAAATTTTTTAGGTTAGATATTTGGTCTGGAATAACGCCGGAGAAGTTGTTAGAATGAAGATCCAACTCGCAGAGAAGCTGCAATTCGCCGATCTCAGTAGGTATATGACCACTCATGTTATTGTTATATAAGTCTATTACTCCTGGAAAAGAAGACAATTTTCGAAAAAGTTGACTTCCAAGATTTATCCCGCCGAAGACAGACAATTCAAATTCATATTGGTCTTCTGCTTCATAAATCAACCTTGGTAGTCTACAAAGTTGCTTTGGAAATTCACCTGAAATTTGGTTGTCTGACAAGTCTATATAAAATAGTCTAGGAAGAGTCCCCAACCAACTTGGAATTGGCCCTGTGATTTGATTATCACCCAGTTGCAATATCTCTATATTCTTGAGCTTTGATAACCATACCGGTATTTGACCAGTGAGGTTAGAACTAGCCAAATTTAAAAACCGAAGATTTTGGAATCCGTCAAAATCAACCATGTCATCATCAAATGGCATTCCCTCACCTTCAAAGGCACTAGAAAGAATGAGTGTGTGAAGACTTTTGCAACTCATTAATATCTTCATTGCCCTTGTGAGGTTGGTGAATTGGTTGAAACTAATCGAGAGGAAGGATAAGGATTTCAATGAAAGAATTTCAGCTTGTATTTGTCCCTCTAGATGATTTTTACTCAATGCAATGGCTTTTAAGGACTGACATGAGTAAAGACTTACTGGAACCGTACCAGTGAAGTTATTGTTCCTTAGATCCAGTTTAGTAAGTTGACTAAGTTTGGAGAAATCAAGCATGGAGATATCTCCTTCCAAGTTGTTGGATCCCAAATGCAGTTCTACAAGGTTTGTGCAATTCATCAAAGATGGGGGCAAAGCACCTTCTAAATTGTTGAAATCAAAGGTCACAAACTTCAACTTGGAGAGCTTCCCCAAATGGAGAGGAAGCTGGCCGCTAAAATGATTAGAGTAGAGGTCAAGGATGGCAAGGTTTGTGAGGTTGACAATTTTATCACTAATGGCTCCATGTAGTGAATTGAGAGGTAATGCAATTTCTTCAAGTTTGGTAGCATTATAGATATCTTCTGGAAGTAATCCTGAGAGGTTATTGTGACTCACACGAAAAACCTGCAGTTTGGAACACTTCCCTAGCCCAGGAGCAAGGTTGCCACTGAATACATTGGAAGAAAAATCCAATAGCCTAAGGGAGGGAGAAGAATGGAGACAAATAGAGGACGGAACATACCCGGTGAAGGTATTGTTGCTGACATTGAAACTTGTCAACTTGCTAGCATGTTGGAAGAACGAAGATGGAATTGCACCAAAGAAGTTATTGCTAGACAAATCGACTGTCCGGATATTGCTGGATGGTAGAGAAAGTGGAAGCTTTCCAGAAAGACGGTTATAGCTCAAATCAAGGATCTCAAGTCGATTCAAAGACAAGAAGAACTGAGTTTCAAGTGAACCATATAGTGAATTGTGGGAAAGGTTCAAGTGGGTGAGATGTGTGAGATTTCCAAGTAAAGAGGGAGAGATACCTCCTTTAAGCCCTCTGGAAGGCAAGAGCAAATGGGTGACCCAACCATCTGGATCACAAGTGACGCCCTTCCAACGACAGCAATCAATGAATGTCCAATCTAAAGGAGGAGAAGAGAGAGTGGAGGCAAAGGACAGGAGGGAGCTGCGTTCAGTTTGTTTGCAGGCATGAATATTTGTAGATATAATGTAAGAGAATAAAAGGAAGAGAAGGAAGGCATGAGCCATTAGGTTATAAGCTTGCACTAGCATGTTGCTTTGTGTATGTGTCGTTGCTCACATGTATTTACATATATAAGAGCAACGATGCTTGAAAAGTATGCAAACATCACTGCAAATTGTGTGGTTGAAGAGATATTCCCATTATTGCCGCCAGAAGTGGACTTGACCTACTTAATTTAAAGTCCACAAGGCCTTCAAAGTGCTCAAAGTAAGAAATTTATATCATCCGCTTTCAAGCACAAGAAATATCTGATTTCCCTTGCCAGTATCCATGCTGGTTGCGTTACTTTATGACAGTTGAGTTAAATTGCAAATGTCTTACAACTTGTTTATTGCTTTCATTATGATGATAATTTTTCATGGAATTTGGAAGATAGATGGTGTTATTTTTCTTGCCAGATAGATGTGGCCTGAGTGTGACAGTGCCAGTCAAGCCTAATCCAACATTATACATTGAAGTCCTTCAAAGTTGTTTTCTTGTTGATGATTCTTCTAAGAAAATTCAAAATTGGAGGATAGTCATTCTTTCAAAGTTGTTTGCCCCATAAGAAGGCAACTACTATAATAACGTTTCTTGGTAGAGCAATAATGTTCAGCCCTCTGAGTGGGGACAGGTTAACAACTACTTGCCGAACATATTGATAGCAATCAAATGAGCCCCAACCAGGAATAAGTGAATTGTGTTGAGTTGTGGACAATGATTCTGGGTGGTGGGTGTTTGGATGTTGGCATGCGGATGTTGCATTTGTAGTGGAAGATAGCAGTTCTGTAATTTCGAGCAAGCTGCAAGCTAAAAGGCAGTTCTGTGAAAGTTGCATCTAATTTTTTGATTTTCTTATAGTTAGCTTGAAAGCAATGCAATTATAAAGGATTTTGAAAGGAAGAGTGTGCGAAGACTTGTGCAACACATTAGTATTTTCATTGCTCCTGTGACATTGGTCAATCTATTGCCACCAATTGAGATGAAGGACAAGTATTTCATTGGAAGAATCTGAGGTTGTGTGCCCCTCTAGATGATTTAAAATCAATTGAATTGCTTTCAGGGACCTACATGAGTAAAGGCTTATTGAAAACGTACCAGCAAAGTTATTGACTGTCTGGAAGTTGGCAAACGATCACCACACAATGCAAATTATTGATATTGAAACCCCTATATTCGTCCAAGTGATATTCCCACTAATGCCACCAGGAGATGACTTGATCTACAACGCCTTCAGAGAGAGGACATTTAGAAGTTTGTGTTTGTTGCCAAAAAGTAATAAATGCAAAGTTAAGTGCATCTTAAATGAATTCTCAAGCGCATCTTCCATGTCAATCAAAGTCCAAGTTGTTTTCTCGTTGAAAATTTTTCTAAGAAAATTGGAAGATGGTCATTCTTTCCAAGTTGTTTGCCGCACATGAAGGGAACTACATAAAAAAATATCACGTATCACTGACAAGTGGCAGTCATTCACAAAGAAGTCCTTTCTACACAAATGGCACAATGTAAAATTTAAAAGGATTAATTATTGATATGGCCCTTGAAACTCAATTTGAATCTCATTTTGCCATCTAAAATTCAATTTGTCACACTTTACCCCCTGAAACTCAATTCTCCGTCTCACTTTGTCCATATTCATTAACTCCATATAAAATAACAGAGCATTGAGTTGTGAAGAGCAAAATGTTGAAATTGATAACAGTCAAGCCATACGTTGATGCATTCATGTTATAAAAATCTTTTCTATTAATTCATATTAGACTAGATAAAATAACTTCCATGTATTAAGTAATCAAGGGTCACAAATTTCAAATTCCCAAAAATAAACAGTGTGAGAAATCACAGCTAAAAACACTAAAAATATGCACAAGACGCATCGGATGAATTTTTAAAGCCAAGATATGGAATCAAAGTCTCCTTCAATTCTCTGCAAATTCTAATTCAAAGTCTCAAAAGAGAAGTTTTTTCTGTCATCTTGGGCCAAAATTGGGCCCAACATTTGGAATATAAAAGTATTGTCTTCGGGCCTTCAAGGCATGGGCTGGACATGCATAAATAAACACCCGAGTTCGATATGATCCGACCCATTTCAGTTTCGGACTAAAACGGGTCGTCGTCGTCTTTCTCAGTTCTCTACTTCTCACACAGGAGAGTCTGTAAAAGGAAGAAGAGAAGAGCAATGAGTGGAGAAGAATTAGCGGGCA